CTGTTGGAAAAGTTAGCGGAATCGTCATGAACTTATTAAGTTGAAGTTATTTGTTAAGGAAATTTATTAATATATTCCTTTTAATACTGTATTTAATAAACTATTATATGTATGTATGTATTTGTGTATGTATGTATATGTGATTGTGTATATATGTATGTGTATACTTTTTTTTGTGTATGTATTTGTAAATTAATATAAATTTCATTGCACCTACCACTATTCACTCTGCACTACCTTTCGTTGACTGGTAGAGAATGCCTTAGGCATTAAGTCCGCTAATGTAAATTTTACATGAAGTGAAATAAATAAATAAATAATCTCAGGAACTACTGGACCGATTTGAAAAATTCTTTCAGTATTAGATAGCCCATTTATTGAGGAAGGCTATAGGCTCTATAACATAATAGACCAATACAATTGGAGCACCACTAAAGAATGTTTCAAAATAGGGGTTTAAATAGCTCCTTAATATTTTATAATTCAAAAATATCTTCACTTTTTACGTAAATGAAGTGGGGGGAAAAGTTTAGCGTTATGCCAAAGTAACTGTTCCACGCGGACGGAGTCGCGGACAAAAGCTAGTATTGAATATAGAAGAATTCGGTTTTATTGACAAGATTGGTCGGCCCGGCTTACGTTTAGTAGTGAAAAGTTTTGAGTTTGATTTTGAGTGAGCTTGTGGGATAGGCACCTTTTTTTTTGCTTAGATGGGTGGACGAGCTCACAGCCCACCTGGTTACTGGAGCCCATAGACATCCACGACGTAAATGCGCCACCCATCTTGAGATATAAGTTCTAAGGTCTCAAGTATAGTTACAACGGCTGCCCCACCCTTCAAACCGAAACGCATTACTGCTTCACGGCAGAAATAGGCAGGGTGGTGGTACCCACCCGCGCGGACTCACAAGAGGTCCTACCACCAGTAAATAGGCACGAGTAATCGCCACGAGACGGGCACCCGGCGTCTTATAAGATTGTCAAGAAATCTTATAAGATCAATAAACCCTGGACGGGTTGACGTCACTCGCCTTATTACACGTCATCTCGGATCCTCCCGATCCACTAACGGTTATTTTAAGTACTTCAAGCACCGGTCACCGTCCTCGTCGAACCCGTCGCTTGCGACGAAGGGCTCGACGAGTAAATTAACTCTCAGACACAGCCCACTGAGTTTCTCGCCGGATCTTCTCAGTGGGTCGCGTTTCCGATCCGGTGGTAGATTCTGCGAAGCACGGCTCTTGCTAGGGTTCGTGTTAGCAACGTCATCAGGTTTGAGCCCCGTGAGCTCACCTACAAAANGAGTAAATTAACTCTCAGACACAGCCCACTGAGTTTCTCGCCGGATCTTCTCAGTGGGTCGCGTTTCCGATCCGGTGGTAGATTCTGCGAAGCACGGCTCTTGCTAGGGTTCGTGTTAGCAACGTCATCAGGTTTGAGCCCCGTGAGCTCACCTACAAAAGTTAGGGTTACGCTGAAATAGCCTCTCAAGGCTCTCAGCTTAGGCAGGAAAAAAAATCGCCTTATTGACACGTGTGACGTGTTGCGTACCCAACACCTATTGTCTTAGTATTGCTATCGTAATAAGAGCAGCAGTTACGGCTCTAAAGTGTTCTGTCGCTGTTTGAATTGATTCGCAAACAAAAGATTTATCCAACGTAAACAAATCACGATAAGCGATAAGATAATATCGCGTGTAGTGTGCACTCGACAATTAAGTCGGTATCTGTGTGCTTAGTGCCAGTTTTTTAACGTTTTCGATAGCGTTTACACTGGCGGTAAGACCTCTTGTGAGTCCGCACGGGTAGGTACCACCACTCCGCCTAATTCTGCCGCGAAGCAGTAATGCGTTTCGGTTTGAAGGCCGGGGCAGCCGTTGTAACTATATTTGAGACCTTTGAACTTATATCTCAAGGTGGGTGGCGCATTTACGCTGTAGATGTCTATGGGCCCTAGTAACCACTTAACACCAGGTGGGCTGTGAGCTAGTCCACCCATCTAAACTATAAAAAAAAAGCGTAAAAGTTAATTCAAATTCATATGGAGTTAAAACGATCGCGTACGTTTGCCGCTAGGGGCGCTGTTCCAACTGCATACAAATTTGAGTTAACTTTTACGCTATCGAGAACGTTAAAAACGTAAACGTTGTGGTGATTTATGGAGGGACAGCAAACAAGCGTGATTCGAGGCTGCACGAGCGTTATCACCTTTGCCAATTTCTGCCGCGAGGGTGGAACACCTCCCTATCTGAGTGAATTTGTTCTTTATGATTTATTCTATGGGAAATACTCGGAAGAAGTGTATGAGACGACTCATGGTCGCATACGACACATTAAATTAACGTTAATTTTAAAACATGAATTTGTTTTCGTTAAGTATTTGATTTTGATTTAAATTGGATTTTGTCAGAATACTAGAGCGAAGATACAAAATGATTGTATCCTCATCGGGCTGACAAGCCCAAAAAACTGACAGTCGTCAAATGTTATAATGGATGACGGATTAAAGTCAAACGTTGATTGTTACTGTGAGGTCATTTTAATAGGTAGAAGCCGCGCCATTATAGAAACGTCCCAATCCTGCGGACAGAATGGAAAGCAGTCGACGTCGCCCAAAACACGTCATCTCGGATCCTCCCGATCCACTAACGGTGCTTTTAGGTACTTCAAGCACCGGTCACCGTTCTCGTCGAACCCGTCGCTTGCGACGAAGGGCTCGACGAGTAAATTAACTCTCAGACACAGCCCACTGAGTTTCTCGCCGGATCTTCTCAGTGGGTCGCGTTTCCGATCCGGTGGTAGATTCTGCGAAGCACGATTCTTGCTAGGGTTCGTGTTAGCATCGTAGTCAGGTTTGTGCCCCGTGAGCTCACCTACAAATGTTAGGGCGAAGCTGAAATAGCCTCTCAAGGCTATCGGCAAAGGTAGGAAAAAAAAAAAAAAAATTTAAACGAATTTAAAACGGCGGCGGCAATCATGCGCTCTCACTCTAAACTATTGCTGTCTTTAGTCGTACATGGTACGTACTGCATGAAAAAAAAAATCAGTTCTGACTTTGTTGTTGAGTTCGAATTTTTTCACTTTTGCGTTGTGCAGATGACTGACAGCAAAAGTGTTTACGCAAGTTGCATCCCAGATGAGACACCTTTTTTTTTTTTTTTTAAATTTCTTAGATATGTGGACGAGCTCACAGCCCACCTGATGTTAAGTGGTTACTGGAGCCCATAGACATCTACAACGTAAATGTGCCACACACCCTCTGCCAGGGCTTAAAGTAAAGTAAAGTACATTCTCATTTGTTTTTTTTATGTTTTTTTTACAATAAAAAACTTTGTCTTTCTTTCTTTCTTTTTATTTGTTGACCCTACCATCTGTCAGTGCAGATACATAGACGCCATTTTCGATTCGTTTCTTTATTGGCGCGGCTTATCTATGTATTAATACGTGAAGTAAAAACTTTGTATCCCTTTTTACGAAAATTGCGCGGACGGAGGAGTATGAAATTTTCCACACTTATAGAGAATAGAGAGAAGAAGTGCACAATGCTAATATTTTTTTAAAATAATGCATTAAACATACATTAAATCAATAAAGAAAACATTACACACACTACATACCATGTATTTGACGCACACACGAATGCATAATATTTATTGTCAAACTTTTGTTCTGTTGTCAAATTGAGATTAAATATTGTTTGTCTTTGTTTTTTTTTTATAGTGTACAAACTTACAATTACAATTAATTATAGTCGAATTTCGACTACTGCGGGACCTCTAGTACCTATTAAAATCACCTCACAGTAACAATCAACGTTGGACTTCAACCCGTCATTCATATTTTAAACTATTTTTGAAATAACCTCAAAATCACTTTTGTTTAAAAGTTACGTTAAAATTGAAGCACTAGTAGCAAAATAACATTTGTTGTGTGTAGCAATAGAGTCTATTGTTGTTTTTTTTTAATTAGCTAGGAGCGCGACACTATAACCTTTTTATCGTGGCTGCCGATAATTATATATGGTCTGAAATAGACCGACTGCATATTATTCTTGTATTCATATTTCTTTTAGACAGATCGCGGAAAATGTTTAAATTTTCAACGCAGTACACTTTATTGTTTTTTTCCCTTCCTATGTTGATAGCCTTGAGAGGCTATTTCAGCTTCTTCTTGACATGTAGGTGAGCTAACGGGGCTCAAACTAGGAGTGTTGCTAACACTGGCCCTAACAAGAGCAGTGCTTCGCAGAATCTACCACCGGATCGGAAACGCGACCCACTGAGAAGATCCGAAGAGAAACTCAGTGGGCTGCGTCTATGGGTTAATTCACACGAGGACTGTGACCGGACTTTATTCTGTTTAAAACTGCTATATTCATATCATTTCCACTTCCAACACTAGCGCTGTTCCGGTGAGTCTTCCAACAATCACTTTCTTTAAACGGGTGGCCGCTTTTTCAACTTGTTCCATTTATAATTTTTTTTAAAGGGATTTTATGACCTGGTAACTGAGACCTTTAAGTCATGTCTTATTTTAATGTATATTCATATTTTTATGAAAAATGATATTATGGAGTGAAATGAAATGAAGATGATTAATTTGAGACATTAATCAACTGGGATTAAATTAAATGAGATGATATGAGATGAAATATAATCTCAGTAAAATGGTGGCCATTTACTAAGATTTTTTCAGTGGACTTTTTGGAGGATCCCGTGAAGTTACGTCCAGCGGCTTTGTTTCATTTTCCCACATTTGTGCACTTTCACAGATATTAAACAGTTAATAAACCACCATTATTACACATTTAGACCCGAAGAAACACTAAATAGATAAAATAAAACAAATCACACAATTTCACTCTTCGCGTTCCCGCTAAAAAGTCCTCAAATATTAAACAAAACAAAAACATCACAGTATATATACATAGTACTAACAAAAACTACATAATATATTTACTCTGTGCCTTGTGACCACAGAGAACTTAAATATTACAGACAAACATGACGAGTCTCCAGTTGCTGCTCTTCTTGGTGTGCGTGGTGACGTCAGCGCGCGCGTACCACGTGCTCTGCGTATTCCCGATACCTTCACGCAGCCACAACTCCCTCGGCAAAGGGATAGTTGAAGCCTTGCTTGGAGCTGGCCACGAGGTTCGTTTTTTAATTAGTCATTTTTAATGAAAGCCAATCATACATACTTGCTAGTGGTAGTTTGTCTTGTGAGACTGCGCGGGTATGTACCACCTCCCTGCCTATTTCTGCCGTGAAACAGTAATGCGTTTCGGTCTGAAGGGTAGGGCAGCCGTTGTAACTATACTGAGATCTTAGAACTTACATCTCAAGGTGGGTGGCGCATTTACGTTGTAGATGTCTATGGGCTCCAGTAACCACTTAACACCAGTGGGCTGTGAGCTCGTCCACCCATCTAAGCAATAATAATGAGATTAAAGCAAGAAGTTGAGAGAAAGCGGCCGGAATTAATCAACAGATGGGGTGTTGTTTTTCATCATGATTTTTTTTTATTGCCCTTGTATGCAGACAAGCATACGGCCCACCTGATGGTGAGTGGTTACCGTCGCCCATGGACTTCAGCAATGCCAGGGGCAGAGCCAAGCCGCTGCCTATCGCTTAATACTCCCCACAAGCCTCTTTTGAAGAAGGACATGTCATAGCGCTTGGGAAACACCGTGGAGGGGAGCTAATTCCATAGCCGGATGGTACGTGGCAAAAAAAGACCTCCGGAAAGGCACTGTCGATGAACGCAGCGGTTCCAGATAATTTAGATAAACTCTGCTCCAATGGCAGGAGGTGCGATGATAAAAAGGAGATGAGGGAATTATCTCAAACAATTCCTCAGAGCACTCACCATTGAACGTACGGTACAAAATACAGAGGGAACCGAAGTCCCCCCGCAGACCCAGAGGTTCCAAACGATTCGTGAAAATGGGAATATTGACAATCCGTACGGCCCTCTTCTGTATGGAGTCAAATGGAAGAAGCTGGTATTTGGGAGCCCTAGCCCAGAGATGGGAGTAGTACTCCAGGCGAGGCCAGACTTGTGCTTTATAAATCAAAATCTTTGTCCAGGCGTGAAGTACCGCTTCGCTCTGTTGAGGACTTCCAGCATTTTGGACGCCAACTTGGCTAACGATAACGCTAACTTGCTTGCTAACTTGGCTTGATAACGCTAGACCTAAAGATGCTAAAGATGTGTTCTTTAGCCACTCAGCAAAAATTAATAGAGCTTGGATGGGAGGTGTTAATGCATCCGCCGTATAGTCCTGACCTTCAGATTTCCACCTGTTTCAGTCTCTTCAGAATTCTGTAGGCAGTGTCAGGTTAACATCACGAAAGGACTGCCATAATCAATTGTCGCGGTATTTTGATCAGAAGCCCCAAAATTTCTATGGGGATCATGTCCCCACTTAAAAGATGGCAAAAAGTTATCGAACAAAATGGTACCTACATACTTTAGTTAAATGTAAATAAACTATATTAAAAAATGTTGTGAATTTTCTTAAAAAATGCGAAGTAATTTTTTCCCCAACCTAATATGTCCGTTGACTTCAGTTAGACCTTCACTTCGGGATCGTGCACTATGAGTTCTAGGCCTACAGTGATTTCGTTTTATTATTACAATGTTTAATTGCTAACGGTTGGTAATACCGAAATCGAAGAACTTATTCAAATAGAACTGCTTACATCCATGTTAACCTGGTACTTTGAAAGATATTTTGAACACCTTACATCATTCTGTTTAGACTAGCAGTAAACCCAACACACTTAACCTACACAGATAATAAATACATTATTGATGAAGTTACGTTACAGAAAAAAAAAAACAGAAAAAGTAGAAAAAAAAATCGACGGTATTTTCTATTTCAGGTGACATGGGCGACTCCGTTCCCTCCTAAAGAATCGATTAAGGGCCTGAAACTAATCGATGTTAGCGCCACATCATCTGTAAGTGAAAGTAAGTCAAATTCGAATGGTGTGTCTCAATGGCGCCGAAAAAAACTCAAGATATGTTATGTCCGCCTGACGGCGGGTACAAATATCAACTCAACTACAAAAATACAATTGTTTATTGCAAGAAAAAAAATATATTAATTAACTAGCTGACCCGGCAGACTTCGTAGTGCCTCAATCGATAAATAAAAGACCTAAATCTTTGTATAAAATAAACTTAAGACAAACAAAAGGAATCCGTCCGACGGGGGACACATTAAAGGGAAAACAAAATTGTTATTATTATTTAATTCCGAGCATTTTCATATTTATCTACCTTTTAAACCTTCTCTGGACTCCCCGAATAATTTAAGACCAAAATGAGTCAAATCGGTCCACCGTTCTCGAGTTTTAGCGAGACTAAGGAACAGCAATTCATCTATATATTAATACGTGAAGCAAAAACGTTGTATCCCTTTTTACGAAAATTGCGCGGACGGAGGAGTATGAAATTTTCCACACTTATAGAGAATAGAGAGAAGAAGTGTACAATGCTAATATATTTATTAAATAATGCACAAAAGATACACTAAATTAATAAAGAAAACATTACACACACTACCATGTATTTGACGCACACGCATGCATACTATCTATTGTCAAACTTTTGTTCTTGACATCTGTTGTCAAATTGAAATGATGTTTGTCTTTATTAATATTTTTCTATAGTGTTATTTTGGCGTTGAAAATACAATCATAATAGTGTACAAACTTACAATTCCAATTAATTATAGTCGAATTTCGACTACTGCGGGACTTCTAGTTTTTATAAATATAGAAGGCTAAATCCTAAAAGAAACTTATTAATTGAATTAAAAAAATATTCTGTTGATGACTACTCGCGGAGAGTGTATTCGCGGTACAGGGACGCTTCTGGTCAAAAAATAAACCTGTGTGCTCTGGGGACTTAACTTACTTAACTTTGGACGGTTCGATCCGTGACGTGTGAAGGTCTTCACTGAGGAAGTTACCATCGTTTTTTTTTTTTTTATGATTGAAAGATTACTGGTGGCCCGGAGGCCTTTCCATTTTCACCAGGACACGTGGGCGAGCAAAGGCTCAGCCAGGAGGGCTGGGATTTGCTAACAGCTACCCGAGCGCCTCCGAAGGAGACCTAACAGCTCAAGAGTAGCTGCTTCGCGAATGAATCTACTACCGGATCGGAATCGCGACCCGCTGAGAAGATCCGGCGAGAAACTCAGCGAGCTGATTCATGGGTTAGGTTGCACGGCGAACTCTTTGTCGAGTTCGACGAGTACGGTTACCGAGGTCCCTAAGCCTGCTCCTAGTGTTAGAGCTGAAGGCGTCTAATGCAAAGGTTATTGGATCTGATGGATCCGTAAGGACGTGTCTAGGGCGTCGACGGTGACTGGCTCCTGCATGATCAGGATTCGGGGAGTAGTCAGCGGCGGCAACGATAAGGCGATTATCATGACGCATAGCCTTATCGAAGTACCGTTCCGACGCTGACTTCATGTATTTCTGGATAGATTCGAGGCCCAGGTCGTCGTGTAGGTCAACGTTCCTCACGAACCACGGAGCTCCGACGGCTAACCTGCAAAAGCGGGATTGTAGAGATTGAAGGGTGTCTATGTGTGTGCGGGCCGCGTGAGCGAACACCACACTCGCGTAAGTCATGACGGGCCTTATGCAAGTTTTGTAAAGTGTCACCTTGTTCCGAAGGGACATTTTACTCCGCTTACAGATCATGGGGTAGAGTCTACCGAGAATAAACGCGGCACGGTCACGGACTGATTTTATATGCGGGCGGAATGTCATCGATGCATCCAGGGTAACGCCCAGGTACTTGACCTTCCTGGCCCAGGGTATGGGTTGTCTAAAGAGAGTAATCGGGGGTGTGAGATTCCTCCTCCTAATCCGGGAGGAAATCCGTGTGGAGCTTCCCCTCTGAAATAGCACCGCAGTACTTTTCGCTGGGTTGATGTCTATGCGCCATTTTCGGAACCACTGTCCTAGGGCTAGGGCTGCGCTCTGAAGCTTCTTCGCGATTAGGGACTTATTTCTACTAGAATAGTAAACAGTCGTGTCGTCGGCGAATAAAGCTAAATGGGTCGGCGGCGACCGGGGAATATCGTTGACGAATAAGCTAAATAGGAGGGGTGAGAGGACAGAGCCTTGCGGGACTCCAGCTGTGAGAGGTCGTGGGGAGGAGCGGGTTCCCTCGACTCGATATCGAAAAGAGCGGTTCGACAAGAAGTCCCGTATGATGAGCACGAGACTATCCGGCACGCCCATGTTGAATAGTTTGAAAATCAAACCATTGTGCCAGACTTTGTCGAACGCTTTTGCGACGTCGAAGAAGAGAGCTCCCGTGTATAACGGTTTTGGTCGATTAAGCCCCACAAGAATGTGCTCCGTGAGGCGGTGCACCTGTTGAACGCATGAGTGATTTGTACGGAATCCGAATTGTTCATCGATGAGAATGCCCTTGGATGAGACGAAGTCTCTGAGGCGTTTGTAGAGCAGACGCTCATACAGTTTGCCTAGAGACATGAGGAGGCTAATCGGGCGGTAGCTCGTCGGATGATTTTTTGGTTTACCGGGTTTATGTATGCCGATAACGTCCGCTTCTTTCCACACCGCGTGAAAGATACAGTTCGCCATAGCGGCATTGAAAATAGATGCCAACATCACGATGAGTTGGACGGGTAGAAGTTTAATAACGCGGTTGGATATACCGTCGGAACCGGGAGCCAGTTTCCATTGTCTGATGGGGAAATCGGAGGCGGTGCGTGATGGTCTACAATCCGTACGGTGGATCCCCAGTTTCCAAGGGGTTTGAAGAATCCGCTTTGAATTTCCCCGTTTATCTTAGTGTAGCACTGATTGCACTATTGTACTGGTGGTAGGACCTCTTGTGAGTCCGCGTGGGTAGGTACCACCGCCCTGCCTATTTCTGCCGTGAAGCAGTAATGCGTTTCGGTTTGAAGGCCGGGGCAGTCGTTGTAACTATACTTGAGACCTTAGAACTTATATCTCTAGGTGGGTGGCGAATTTACGTTGTAGATGTCTATGGGATCCAGTAACAACTTAAGATCAGGTGGGCCGTGAGCTCGTCCACCCATCTAGGCAATAAAAAAAATGAGAACAAATAATCACGAATNCAATTAAATTAATCATAAGCAATGAATGAAATGTATTCAAATCTTAGCTGTATATTTTTTTTATTTTTGATGTTAATGCACTGTCGATTGCACCTATAATTGAGGTGACATCAGCCATGAACTTTTGTCAATTTGTCAATGTTTTGTATTGATGATCACTTTGTTGGTGCAACTTAATAAATAAATAAATAAATAAATACCATTTCCACTTCCTACACTAGCGATATTTTGGCGAGTCTTCCAACAATCATTTTGTTTGAACGGGTGGCCGCTTTTTCAACTTGTTCCATTTATAAGACGGTCCTCCTTACTTCTACCTCTCCATATACATATCGACGCTCGTATCCGAACCTTCAAGATTATAGAAACAGCGTGCCGCCGCGCCGTGATTATTATTTTTTATTGCTTATATGGGCGGACGAGCCTCACAGCCCACCCGGTGCCCAGTGGTTACTGGAGCCTATAGACATCTACAACGTAAATGCGCCACCCACCTTGAGATATAAGTTCTAAGGTCTCAGTATAGTTACAACGGCTGCCCTACCCTTTAAACCGAAACGCGTTACTGTTTCACGGCAGAAATAGGCAGGGCAGTGGTACCTATACGCGCGGACTCGCAAGAGATCCTACCACAAGTAAAAAAATAATATCTATAAGATTTAGTTTTTTTCCACTATTCTTTTTCTTGCAGCTTTAAAGTAGGTATTATAATAGTGGCTTATCAATAGCTCAGATAGTCTGTGATAGTGCACAAGTGCGATAGAGGGACAATCACTTGACGTATCTCCTCGGGTTGAAACAAAAAGTTCATTGAACTCACAGTAAATTCCGATCATTTGACTGAGATGTAATTTTTTTTTTCTTTTTTTTTTCTTTCGTGCCTGGGCCGAACTTCCTACGAGGTTCACGCGCCTAGGGGGCGCGCGGGGTATGTGGGACTGCAGATGTGTTGGAAGCAGACCGCGGGCCCAAGGAATTTTAGGGCCCACCCACTAAACGACTCCCCTGCACTCTTACACCTGACGTCCGATCTCCGTCTGGGGTCAAAACCTGGTCAGAGTAGGAGGGTTCCCGCGGTCAACACTACAACCAGACACGCGGCGCCACCCCGAGAACGCCCGACTGACGGGTCGTCGAGGCGATAGTCGACGACCAACGACGTCGGTTTCCGCGGTACGACGGCCCTACCAGGCCACCCGGGCGATGCCGCTGGTGTTCCGGGATACCCCGCGGGGCCAGAACCAGCCTGCCGGGTCTGAGCGCGATACACCGCGGACCGGGTTGTTCACAGTATGTTCGGCGACGACAGAGACGACGAAAATGTGGACCGCATCGCAGTCCGCAGCCGCCGACGCGCCGTCCCGTCCTCCTGGTGCCAGCGCGCTAGAGTGACGGTAGCGTGCGGCGCAGTCTCAACCCCCTTAGGTCGCCCTGTGACCATCACCGGGAGGAGACTGCCTCCTCGTAAGGGCCGGAGCTGGACAAACGCCCTCCTCCGACCCCCGGCTCGGCGGCGCTGGCACGGCGCCGAGAGGGAAGAAGAGCTCTCCCTCTCCCGTGAGATGTTATTTCACTTAATCCAACATCATGGGTGTTGTCTTCGTCATTCCTTAGATACCGTTACACTTTTCATACAACAGACATTGGCTTTGGCTTTTATTCAAGGTTTTATGGAACATGTTATCTTTGCTTGTTCAATGGAAGAATCAAATAATAAATTATAGTTTAAAAAAAAACTAACAAAATACGCTTTTATAGAAAATCCAATTAAAAAATAGAAAATAAATTTTAATAAATTTGAATTAAAAATAGTGTAAGAAGAAATTATTTTACTGTAAAA